ACCTGGGACTGATCACTTACTAGAATATCATTTTCACATAAAATCATGAATATCCTTTTTTACAATAGTACCTTTATTTGTTAAAAATGGTTTAACAGTAGGCCAAAATGATTTATTTTTACATCCACCTACACATCTCTCTAAAAAATATTTATTTATTGATTTTCTTTTAATGCTTGTGACAAGATTTCTTTGTTTACGGTATTTTTCCCAGTTCTTTGATGTTTTGTATTTATAATATGTATTTTGTAACATGCGTTTCTTATAAATAGCTTGTTTTAAGGTTTTATTCATATATGGTACTGTCTGGTCCATTGAACGTTTACGTTTTAAAGGGGCGTGTTTGTCTGTGACTTCCATAAAAGTTTTGCTAAAATTTGTGTATGCCTTGTTTACATTTACAGTGTTCTGGTTTAAGTATGATAAATTAGTCTGTAAATCCTCATTAAATTTTTCAATTTCAAAATTTTTAAAAGATCTATAATTAATCCAGTTTGGTTTTTTACTTTTAGATTCATCTTTTAGCTGAAATGCAATCAGATTGTGTACATCACTCAGTCCACAATTAAAATTACATATTTTCCCAAAAGAAGAATGGCTATTAGTTAAAATCACATCCAGCAGTGATGGTATACCATTTTTAGTAAAGCAGGTAGCCTTCTTAATTAGACTCGTTAAGTTAAAAACATCAATAATATCGTTTAAAGGAGCACATTTGGTTGGATCAAGTAAATCAAAATTTAAATCACCTAGTAAGACATATTCATCATACTTAGAACTACATTTATCTAGAGTTGTCATGCAGTTTTGTTCGAAAGTTTCATTTGACATAGATGGAGGTTTATATGCACCCATTAAAAGCCATTTCTTTTTATTTAAGATTACCTCTATGAATATAGATTCTATATCTGTAAATTCGAGATTTGATTTTCTATCTCCAGCTATATCTGACCTTAAGTACACTGCAATCCCACCACCTGGTGGAGGGTATATAAATGATGGGTAAATACATTTCATATGAAATCCCTGATTCCGAAACGAGCAACATGGTAAGCAACGAGGACCAATTTATCTTAAATTTATGAAATTGAAGGAACGATTGAAAGCATACGGCTGCAAAGAATAAGTATTACAAATATTTCCAGATCAGTCGCGAGAATGATCGCATCTACCTTAATGAAGGCTACTTTTGCGTTTAGCATTTAATGAATGCACCCCAAACAAAAACCAGCAACACAGAAGCACCAGAATGGAGCCGATAAGGGCACCAAACAAAAGTAGGAGAGGACATACACACGGGCAACACACTTGTCAACAGGGGGTTATTATAAATAATTTAACATTTTACCCCATGAGCGTATTGCGCAAAATGGCCGTTTTCATTGAAAAGCCTCCTGTAACAAGTTCAAACAGCTATAAAACTATGAAAATTGCTTCAATACTAATGAAACTTGGCAAAAATGTTGACTAGACCATAGCCTCTACAACAGCATGCTCAATCGTAAATTTCCTGTTACCATAACAACGGGGGAACGTCTCAAAATTGCCAAAAATCACTATCTGGCATTGTTTTTTTCCCCATCAAAACTGATTTCAAAGCGCTGCAACTTCTCAATGAATTGAGATAGAGTAAAAGGCTTTTCAGCGTCGGTTACTAGTTACCCTAAGATCGACCTGAGGCCATTTTTAGCCTGTCACATGTCCAAAATTTTCTTGGCGATGAGGGAGACTACCGCCCCCTTCAAACCCTTCAAATAGAAAGGGGCACATCCCCCTTCTGGCAACCCCCTGTTGTAACATTTGAACGGGGGCGGCGCCGAAAAAGTGGTCACTTTTTTAACAACATTTCAGTGTTTGGGGCCTAAAAAGGACATTTTTTCACTGTTTGAGGCCTCAAAAATGGGGGGGGGGGGGCAAAAAACGTCAAAACACGTATATATCAGGGAAAAGGTTAGTATAGGGCTCATAAAGACACCAAAGAAAACGACCAACCAAAAGGACAAGAAATGAACAAGGATGCATAGGTGCATAGGGATGGAACCAAAATAGTTGATGGTGGGGGGGGGGGGGCAAAATAACAACAAAAACATTAATAGTATTAAAAACAAACGACCAATTCAGCGGTTATTTACACTTGACACTTTACTTTTGAAGCCACTTCATGTGCGGACCAGTTGTGCAAATCCTTGTACTTGTCTTTGGTTTTTCATTTGGTAGACGTCCAAAAACCTCATGACTTGTGGTATCTCTAAAATGTTCTGATATCCGAAATAATATTTTGAAGATTTTGCATTTACTTCAGATCATACATTTGTAGGTGATAACAAGATATTGATACATATTTCACGTATCTATCACAATATTTTAATTATGTAGTTGTAAATTTATCATTATAAATTTCATAGGATTAAATACAATTCTTTAAGTCCCTTCGATTATTACTTTTTTATTTAAATATTTCCCTTACTATAAAAATGCAAGATTAGTTGAGACAACAGTAATTAACTTTAAATCTTTAAAAATAAGGAATTTAAAATAAGCAATGATATGTTTTCATAGAGAAATGTGTTCAATATCTACAACAACATTCAGTTGTTTTGCAGCTTTGTTACATAAACAATGTGTCTGTGACATGTTTGTCAAAACTAAGTTAGAAATCAGATAAACCCCTATTGAATCATACTATTCTCCTAATAAAATTTCTTGGTGATCAATTTGCAAAGTTTTGCTTCAGATAAAAAATCTTAAATTACGGCTACGTATTACGATTTAATAGTAAATCGATACTACATTTTTCAAGTGCCTCTGAGTTATGTGAAAAAAAACATCGACATCATATGATAATGTTACCGAGATTAGTTCACATAGATTTTGTCACTTACCTAGACAAATTATGTAATTATAATGTTGTTCAAAAATGTCTACGCATGGTGCTTCTATAAGAAAACAGAAAAATGCAAAAGGTTTGAAACTCCCGTTTTCAGTACGCGGAGCATTTTCCAAATTAGAGCTGCTTTGAAAGTTACCGTCCACGCCTGTGGCATCTCTACCCTTGTTTTGAGAATAAATAAAATCAAATATTTCAAGAAAGACCATCGTTGTAGGTGAAAATGCAACTGCAAGCTGTCATCACATTTGGAACACCTCGTCGATAATACGTCAATTCCCCAGGCATCACATAAGTTAACCACACTATTTAAATATGTAATGATGTTTAAGCAACGTTACATCCCGCAGATATGTTCATACCGCGGTCATCAGAGAACATTCAAGGTGACATTTCCATCCTATTCTATGAACAGCGACATATATGGTCACATAAGTAATGAATTTAAAGTTTTATACATTATTTTGAAAAATTTAGGCTGTCGGTGGATGTTAAAATATAAATACTTTTTAAATAACTGGTTATTTCAAAGACTTAGATCACAGTTACCGTATATATTAAATCAAATAAAGCTATATGGTGTTATTTTTATTATAAATATCGTGAATCAAAAACACGTTTAGTATAATTTATTCAATAATATGGATTAATTTTTGTTTGGTGTTACAATAGCCACTTCAGTCAGGGGCGGATACAGAACATGATTTCCTGGGGGGGGGGGGTGGCTGACATATGGGTGGAAGAATTTTACAAAAATAATGCAACAGGCGAAAATTGAATATTGGGCCAGCATCTTGTTCTTGTGACAAAAAATTAAGAAAAGTATATGTAATTGGGGTGGGCGTGGGAGGGGTGCCCCCTCCCATGGACTGAGAAAAATTTGAAATATGAGGTTGAAAATGGTGTTATATCCTTGACTTTCTAGTGCTGTTTATGGTACCTTTGGATGGTTTTACAAAACACTGTATTTTGTATAGGTTAGTGTTTGCTGGGTCTTTCAAAAAGAATTCCCCCGGTGTTTAGTAGTGAACATTTACAAAATACCAGCACACTTGCCGATGTATGCATAACTGTTGATAATAATAAATTCAACACTTGATCAGTTCGGAATAATAGACCATTTTCCAAAGTAAAGTGATACTAAAATACTGCTTTCCTAATGTACAAAAAAATAATTTCAAACACTAGTATTCAATAAGATTTTTTTCCATCAATGAATCCATTTTAGATACTAAAGAGGTTAGTACAACTTAAATTCTATTTAAAGAATATAACTGCCATAAAAAGTTATTAAAAGCAAATGACAAATCCTTTCATCTTAATAAAAAAAAATCTTAGTAAAACAAGTTATTCAAACGCGATTCCTATAATAATATGTTTATAAAATTCTCCATCTTTTTAAATTACAAATAATAATTTTTAATATCTTAATTATAGGGCTTACACAAAGGAAATGGAAAAACAAAGATAGTAAAATATGGTGTACAATGTAACTCATCTATTTGCCACTATCTGTGACTATTAATTTCATTAGACCTACAAATCAATTATGCGGTTTAAACATTGAAGTCAGTCAAGCATGTTGATAGATATATAAAGATCTCTGTCAAGCCCCCAGGCAGGAGATTAACAACTGGATGACAGCAATTAATGTTTTGATAAGAGAGTACAATAAAGTTTGAAACTGACAAAAATATATTCCAGCCGAGCTGGTAAATGAATCTTTGGGCCGAGCTGGGGGGAGGGGGGCTGCAGCCCTGAAGCCCGGGCCTGAAACCGCCACTGACTTCTCAGTCTTTTCCGAAAAGAGAAATATATAGTGGTGATTGACCTATAGTTTAGCATTCAATTACTCTACGTGATGTTCCTGATTCTTATAACTGAGGAAAAGGATATGCTTGATTAGTAAAAATGGGTTTCAGAATAAATTAAATTTTTTGAAATAAGAAATTCATGCATTTAGAATAAAAGTGCTAGTTTTATCATCCAACATATTTCAAAGATATTTTTAATAGACAACATCTTAGTTGGAGACGTTATATCATTCTTATGAATCTATATACAGATACACTTTATCTTATTCTATAAATGATATACTACAAAAATAATTTCTGTTAAAATCAAACACTTCCATTTACTTCCGGAGAAATTGTTTTCATCGACAACCATAATTTTACCAGAAAATGATTTCATAGAATCAGAAAGGCAGTATTCATCAAGATGTCGACAATAGATTTAGCTAAACAACAATCACAGGAAAATTTTAAAAGGTGAAACTCTTTGGCGTATTTTTATACCATCTCCTAAATAGTTTTCGTGAAAAAAGATGATCTGACAGCCGTAAATCAGGTGATAGTGCCCCTTACAAGTTACAGTTTATAGTGAGTTACAATGTATTCACAGGTGGCCATAATTTGTAACCCTAAGCAATTTAGAGTGCTAGTTTGATAAACTATATTTTCAAATAATAAAACTTTCTATTTTGAGTTGGCAGATGCATTCAATTTACTTTGATGTTTGGAAGTGGTTAGCCGTATGGGCCCGAACAGCTAGCCAAAATTTCTAGCCGTATGTGAGTCAGGTACGACTAGCCAGGACTCACTGTATTGTCTAGCCGTACGGCACTTTTCGAAATAATATGAAGTCGAACATGCATGTGTTATTTTGTGCCTCATGATTATTATTTGTTGTTTTATTTGTATGAAAGATGTTTTTTGTTAATTATGCGCATGGATCAAATAAATAATGATCGAAGTGGAATAAATAAAAAGAAGATTGAAAAAAAATGGTGAATGTATAATTTTCAAATACAGTACAGTAGATAAAAGCACAATCAATTAATTAGCCTTAATTAAAGCTTACCCAGGGACTGACAAAAGAATTTAGAATGCGTTTCACGGAACATGCAAACTTTCTTTAATGATGGACAAACTTCTATACCGTCGGTAATTGACGCAATTATCAGAGCCCAACAACAATTATTTTCGTTTTTTTTGTTTCATTTTAAAGGTGTCAAAAATTAAACTTAATAAAACAAAAAAGGATTATCATCAAAATTTTGTAAACTATTTCAATTGATGTGATTTAACTGCGACCAAACGCTATTTTTTCTCGACTCTTGAGATGACAAAGATCAATATTCTTACTTTTTACTGTAGCCAACAAGAAGATTAATCTCTAAATAGTAAACATACGAAGACAATTGCTGTTTCTTGGTTAAAATCCTCGCTTAAAGTCATAAAATAACATATGCATTTTCGACTTCCATATAATTTTGAAAATGCTGTACGGCTAGCCAATACAGTGTGTCCTTGCTAGTCGTACGTGACTCACGTACGGCTAGAACTTTTGGCTAGCCGTACGGGCCCACTTCCTTGATGTTTTAAAAATATCCAATTGTTTTCTTTCTTTACAATTCTTAACAAACATTTGTTGAGACTTTGTGTCATACATAGTAATAGTGCTGACTAGGATAATGACAAATTAAGGGTGTAATATTATGTGGTTTTGTATGTGAGTATATCACAAGTAGACAACGTATAACTCTAATGAGAAATAAGAGACACAAGTGTGTTCTATGACTACAAGTTTAATACTGGAGATAAACTCTTATCAAGAACTGCTGTACTACTTTCTAAGCATGCGCAGGTATACATTTATCTAAACAGTCTCATATTACAAAGGACGACCAATGAGACCTAAATTATCTGTTGAAATGGATAACTGTGCAGATCTTGTGAACTTAAGTTTACCAAAAGATTCTTGTATGGAAAAATCAAGTGTAGTGATGGGTCCTACCAAACAGTAGACACTGCTAAGGTTCAAAGCTTGCGCTCCAAATCCTGGCGCAAATTTTACCTTAGAAAAGGTACATCTGATGTTGTATGTAGAGGCGAGATATTGCCCAGTCACGAAAATAGCGCAATATCTTGTTGCGCAGTTCAATTAGTTGGACTAAGTGAAGGTTATGCTGATAAAACTATATATAATCTATTATATTTATGATAAGCCAAATATCAACATATAAAAACAAATTTCTGACATGAACTCCCTAGTAATAATTGATAGGTAAAAACTTTCAGATTTGAAATACAGTAATTGCTTTATTGAACAATTGCACATTTATTGATTGTGCAAAGAGAATTTGCAAATTAAAATAAGGTTAAACAAATGTGTGTAATTCTGGTAAGGTTTCATAAAGGGTCAAATCCAAAACCTTAATGCAGTAACATACATTAATGATCTTTTTACTTAGACACAGTGTGAACTAGTTGTTGCTTTTATTGTAATCAAGGCATTAATCAATCAATCATATTAGTGTTTTCTTGCTCAGCAATTGATTTTTCTCGTTTCAGTGATGCTAAAACATCTAAATGGCTTGATGCATACCATGATCCAGTTGCCTCCCTTTACACATTTACTCAGTGTATAACACTGGCAGATATCCAGGCAGATGGGGATTGGAAACTCATCATTGCAGATCTCGGCTCTGGCTCCTTTAACATGAAACTGAAGGTTTATAAAGGTATGAATAACCAGAGTTTCCTCTAGATCAAATCAAGGTTATGAAATATAAAAAGACTTAATTTTTTTTTTATTTATTTTTGCAGGACCATATTGTATATTTGAGTTTGTAGGTAATTTATTTCTTGCTATTTTATCTACATGTTGTATGCTTCTTAACTTTTTACCTACAAGGGTTACACAAACAATAAAAGAAAGTAATTTCACTAATCATAATACTTATGTTGGTTGTCAATTTTATTTCAGGGACAGATTTAATCAGTGAAAATACAATAATAGATCTGCCCACAGGTGTTGTAACATTCTATATGGACACACACGAACCAAGAACTCCGGGTATTTATACATTTGTTCTACCTTATTGGCAATCTACTATGAAATGACAATTGGCCAGCAATTACCCTGCTGAATTTCTAAAATAGACTTGTCCAGTTTTCAATTATGTAACTGTTCATTATCAATTTTGGTGATATGAAGATGAAAATTAAATGATAGCTAACAATGTCCTGCCTTGTCACAGTTTGCTTGAACACTTTCCGTTTCAATGAATATGTATAGTTACAGGAATAGGGGACCTATGAACAGAAGTTTGTAGGCTAATGTCAAAATACTAAAGTGCTATTTTTTGTGATGTTTATTTCATATTGTATGTTTGTTTCATTCATTTTACGCCTTTTCCCAACAGTATTTCAGTCATATAGGCGGGTAGTTTCCTAACCATCATTACTGGAGAGTTACACCAGTACTAGACTACCTTCCTCCGGGCTAAACTACCAAAGCATCTCCCAGGGATCGAACCCACGACAGAGAGGTAACAGGATTAGAAGTCATCGACTCTAACCCCTCGACCACGGAGGCGGTTGTTTATTTCATAGATGAAATCTTAAAATTTTCTACTTTGTACATAATCTTAACACAAACTTTGTTGCTTATGTCTAAAATAGGTTTATATGAGTAGGAAGCAGTCATAAAAATACTTAAATATGAATGATTTTTTGTTTTATTTCAGCTATAGCCGTAGCATCAGGACCATTTATATATATTTACAAGAATCTCCGTCCATATTTCAAGTTTACATTGCCACCTCTAGAAGTAAACTCTGTGGAAGAAGATTTGTGGAATCAAGTCAGAGATGTATGTTATTTTTAATTTTGTTAAAGGAGTCTAAAAAATAACAATTGAAAACTAGCAAAGATCGACTGGGGCATTTAAAAAGGACAAAATATATCAATGAAGATACCTAGATTGAGCAAATGAACGATTTTTTTTTTCAAAGAAGTTAAAAATTCTTAGTGGAGTCCCTTTAAAATTATTTGAGTTACGAAAATGATTTTTCTGCATATTTGTAGAATTCTTTAAGCATGTTTTATCTTTTTGAAACCATTATACATATGTATATTGCATTGTTAAATGTTTGAAAATTGAAGTTTAGTCTATGGCTAGTTAGAATAGTCTGCCATTTGTAACATTTGATTCTTTACAAGTTTAAGATAATGTAATCAGAGACTGAGCTACTGAATTTTCTTCCTTGTTTATTTGGCTCATGTTTCAAAATATTTAAATTAAAGGAAGATGGGGCAACCTATTGGTTAAGGTTTCTGTCTTTCAACCCAGGGATCATTGGTTTGAGCCCTACACAGTTTACAACCATGTTTTTTCATATGACACCAGTACTGGTTTGTTCAAGGATGGTTTAAATAAGCATACAACCTTTGTCATAATCAATATGTTTAGAGTAAAGCACCTAAATGATGTTTATAGGAAATAGTGATTCATATATTTTCAATAGTTTGATATATCTCTGAAAACTTTTTTTCCAGGGTCGCATAAATGTATACGTATTGAGGGAGATGTTGGAAGGAATGAGGTAATTGAATATATGTGCACTTTATGTTTTATTTTTGTTGATTTTACTATTCCGTTAACTTAATATAGCAAAGACAGTTTGAAGTTTCAGTTTTATAGTGGCAATTACAGGTTTTTCTTGTTTTAGGGTCTTTATTTATTTACTGAAAGATGCATGCATATAAATTATTATTTATACATTACAACTGAAAAAAATAGCATGTAATTATATAATAAAAATAGCATGTAAAAAAATTGGAATTTTGTACAGTTTTCTATAGAAGGAGCAACTTAACACCAGTGATATGAGTAAACTTAAGATACATGTCCACCAAATATATTATGACAAAAGGTTTACCATATATGGTTGAGAGGTTCTAGTAGATAAAAAATGCATCAATGCTAGTATAAATACAACCCAGAGGAAGATCCTATAATTTCAATTTGTTTTTAGAATGAGTAAAGTTGTCATACAATGATAAATCAAAATTGCCATTGTGATTCTGTAATATAAGTTGATTTTACTTATTTTCAGAGCTGACGGTTCAGCACTGACTGTTAGGTCACTGAGGTTCTTGCAGTTGACCGATGCTGGTGACATGGTTCAGTTTTGTGAAGTGTATAAAAACTCTCCTTTGAAAAGACAGACTGTGATAACATGCCTCGGTACCTTGAAGAAATCCATGTCAGAGGAAGATGCTATTAGCTGTTTGGTACTGGGAACTGAGGATAAATCTATATATGTCCTTGATCCAGAAGCTTTCACAGTTCTTGCAACTGTATGTATATGTAAACTTTTTAATTTTATATTAAAAGTAAAAATATTAATCTCATTAAGATTCATTGGTGACAAAGTTGAAAGAAAGTTATTAACATTTTTCCCACATTTTTTAAACTTTTTATGCCCCCACAAAGTGGGAGCATATAGCGTTGCACTTGTCCGTCCATCTGTTCGTCCATCTTTCCGTCCGTCCGTCCCAAAATCTTGTGAACGCAACTCCTCTTACACCGGATGGCAAATTTTGCTTAAACTTCCAGGGATGAACAACCTTAATGTGTAGATGGTAGTAAAGGAAGGCATTTTCGCTGCAACCAAATTTAACAGAATTATGGCCTTTTGTTGATTTTTCACTATATACTATATAGAAATTTTGTGAACGCAACTCCTCTTAAACCAGATGGCAGATTTTGCTTAAACTTCCAGGGATGAACAACCTTAATGTGTAGATGGCAGTTAAGGAAGGAATTTTTGCTGCAACCAAATTTAACAGAATTATGGCCCTTTGTTGATTTTTTCACTATATACCATATAGAAATTTTGTGAACACAACTCCTCTTAAACCGGATGGCAGACTTTGCTTTAACTTCCAGGGATGAACAACCTTAATATGTAGATGGAAGTAAAGAAAGTAAGTTTTGCTGCGACCAAATTTAACAGAATTATGGCCCTTTGTTGATTTTTTCACTATGTAATATATATATATGTTGTCGGTGGGTGCATCTGTGTCCTTTGGACACAGTTCTAGTTTATTGTTAGTGTAGTGGATATTGTTTTGTAAAAAAAACAACGCACAAAACAATAAAACTGAGTTGTCAATGTAGATTCTGGTCAGACCTTGCAGATGTGCAGGCCATTGCTCTCAGATGTGCCGGCCACTGCTCTCAGGGGCACCGGCCTCTGCTCTTAGAGGAATAATCCTCTGCTCTTAGAGGCATTGGCACTGTTAAATGGCCCAGCCTCTGCTCTCAGAGGCACCAATCTCTGCTCCCAGATGCGCCTGCCTCTGCTCTTAGTTATGCAAGTCATGCTTGCTTTATATTCTCACACATGACTGTCATCATTGTCAGACCTGATAGTGTAGGATTTAAATGCAAATTGAGTTTAAGCTGTCTAGCTTAGGATGTTTACTGTTCAACTTGAAACACCAACATGTTAACATGGTTAGTTGTTATTTCATTTCAACAATTTTGTCTTCTGGACATGAAATACAAGAAAGAATATCTTCTTTGTTGTACTATACATGTATGTTACACCACCATATTCTAATGTCTACCTCGACCTATTTGTATTTAAGGGTATTGTTCAATATGAAATAATATTTATGTATTTACACATACATGTTAGATACATCTTTTATTACCTTGAGTAGATACTGAACATTAAATGTTGTGATAATCTCTTCAAATCATTGATAAGCAGTTGAAATACACATGTATTTTCAGATGAATTTACCGAGTGTTCCAGTTTTCCTAAGTGTGACAGGAATGTATGATGTAGAATATAGAATTGTTGTAGCTTGTAGAAATGGATGTATCTATACCCTAAAAAGGTAAGTTATCTATTTAAGCAGTGAAAAGTAAGATGTCTTAGTCAACAGAGAAACAAGGCATCCATGGCCGAGTGGTTAAGGTCGTTGACTTCAAACCACTTGTCTTTTACAGCAGTGGGATGAAATCCTATTAAGGACATAAGATTCTTTCATGTGAGCAAGCTATCCAGCTAGCTTATGGAACTTTGTAGACTCTACTCAGGTGACTGAAATAACGCACAGAGACTGAGAGAGGCACTTGCGGTCTTCACCAGTAAAACTAGAAAGACATCAAATGACCTTTACAGTATTGTAGTGACTGTAAAACGCAACAAATAAAAAATAAATAAATAAATTCAGAAGAAACAAAATCAAAATTTGAAGGTAACATTACAGTCTTATACACACTTTGAAGGCCTTTTCCTGCAAATTGCAAATGTTATACATGTATATATCAGTGTTCCCACTTCTATTTTTCATTGGGGGTATTTTTACCCCTTACCTTTGAAAACTGGGGGTAAAATAAAAATTCAGGGGGTACATAAATTTGTACAATTCTGACTTTCTGTGCGTATTTTTACCCTCTTGCCTAAATTTCTGTATGTGAATTTTGGCATGTATGCGTAAAATACGCACATATGTATGTAAATGGGAACACTGATATATATCCTTTATATTTGGGACATTTGTCAAGGTCATGACAGAACTAACTGTTTCAATACTTGCCTGAGCTTACATGAAGCTTGAATTTGCAATAATTTGCAATAATTTGCAAGTTAGAGCCTCATGCTTGTTTGTTTAAATAATGATATACATCTGGATATTATTTTAATAATTGTTCAATTGCAGATTTATAGGTTGATCTCATTTTTGTCTTTTACACAATAATTATTGAACTTGTATACAATTTATTATAGAGGATTAGATGATCCAGCCAAAAGCTGTATAGAGCTTAGTTCACAGATAGTTGGTATGGAACGACTCAACAAAACAATCTATGTAGCCTGTATGGACCAGACACTCAAATGTTTTACTTCTAAGGTAGTGTAACTCATTTATAACCTGTTTTTTGTCATTAAATATAACACATGCATTTATTTCTCTTTAAAAAAATTAAAAATTGCAGACTTAAGATTAAGTGTAACATCTCTTACAGCCCCATTACCTGCTGAAGTGGTGTTTAATCTTCAACACTAAATGTGCTGGAATAAATTATCCTGAAAGACAGTAAACTATAGGAGTGAAGTATGAGGAAACCTTTTACAGCTGCAAAACATGCATTTTTCTCCTAATCTTTATACTTTAACTATCTGGTGTAGTTAACAGCAAAATTTGAATTGATTTTGCAGATAGATTGTGACAATTCAATTGTTGACAATAATATTCTTTCTTTGATGTATTCATTGTGAATGTATGACAGTAAAGTAGTATCCATCTGGTTAGAAATGTGGCTGAACAATTTTTACTACATGTATAAGTTTGGGAGTATGATGATTTCAGTTATATGTATTTTATATTACAGGGTAAGAAAATGTGGACAGTGAAGTTACCAAAGAGTATCACAACTATAGAAGTGGTTGATTATAAACCTAAAGCTTTTAAAGCAGTCCTAGTGGCTTTATCTAATAATGAAGTACATGTATATAAGGTAAGATTGTAAAATGTACCTATGTCTTATAGATATTTTAATTGCATATAATTATATATTTTCAATAATGGCACTAATAGTTTCACTCATATATTTTTAAAGCAATTTATGTGATATAATTCCACTAGAATGGTCCCAGCCTTATGTTTTATACTGGCACTACTTTGTCATTATATTTCTGGCTCATAATGAAATCAATAGTTATCTCAGTTGTCACTTTCAAATCACTTGTCACTCTCCTCTGTATGTTTTAAAGGGATACTCAGGCAAATTAATGGCAAAAATATTAAAATTATCTTGTGTACTCAAATCACACTAAAATGACATATTTTTAAAGTACCAGAATGAATTTCTGTATCATTTCTATATATATTTTGGGTTTTAAGCATAAATACATCTATATATGTTGAACAAAATTTTGACGCCAACAGAATCCGCGAGTAGTTTTAAAACAGGTCATGCGACTTGAATAAACCCTGAAAGTTACAATAACAGATATTGTGGATATTGTATGATCGAAGTAGGTCCAAGTCATTTATTTGACATGTTCTTTAACATTTCCAATGTTCACTGTGACAGCTATTGTGAAATCTTAATGCTCTAACCTGACCCACATGGGTCAAGTTAGGAAACCACTATTTTATTCTTTACAAGGAGAAAAGTTTTGTTCCTGTGACTGCCTAGTGTATTCATTTTGAGGACATTTACAAAATAATGAATGAAAAATTCAAAAAGAAGAAATGAAAATTTTGCCTGTGCCTCCCTTTAATCCCACCTGAAGTTTTGAAGCCATTTACCTAGCAAATAAACTTAAGGCAGTTGGTTCTGAAGGTTCTGTCAAGACACCTTAAATTTTCCTTTATAACATGTACCGGATTTGTGTTTCTGTGATATAGCAAACAAGGAAGAATATTATTTTGTTAGATATTAGAAAGTCATATGTAGCATAGTGTTTTTATACCATTCTTTTATGTGACAGGAGAAATACCTTGTTGATGTAATAAAAACAGATGATGTGATTACTGCCATGAGATTTGGGAGGTTTGGTCGAGAAGATGGGGCTTTGGTTATGTGTACAAGTAGTAAGTTGATATTTCTTTAAATCGTTAGTTGTATGCTTGACCTTGTTTTCTTCTTAACCATTAAAGTATGAAATATGTATAAAGGACAAACATTGCTTTGAGTTTTTGTAACTGTCCATTTTTAGCTCACCTGTCACAAAGTGACAGGGTGAGCTTTTGTGATTGCTTTTTGCGTCCGGCGTCCGTCTGTCCGTAAACTTTTGCTTTAAATGACATCTCCTCATAAACCACACAGAAACCGAAAGAAAAAACTTTAAATATCTTCTTTTAAAGAACCCAAAGAGCTAGAGCTTAGATATTTGGCATGAAACATCTTCTAGTGAGCGTCTACCAAGTTTGTTTAAATAAAAGCCCTGGGGTCAAAACTGGCCCCCCGCCAGGAGTGTCATTGTTTTTTAACTATATGTGTATAGTAAAAACTTTAAAAAATCTTCTTTTAAAAAACCCAATGAGCTAGAGCTTAGATGTTTAGCATGAAACATCTTCTTATGGGTGTCTATGTTTGTTCAAATAAAAGCCCTTTGGTTAAAATTAGCCCTGCCGGGGGGCGGGGCGAGGGGGAGAAGGTCATTGTTTTTCATTATATGTGTGTAGTAAAAACTTAACATCATGAAACATCTTCTAATGGGTGTCTTCCAAGTTTGTTCAAATAAAAGCCCTGGGGTTTAAACTGGCCCCGCTCCGGGGGCCTATATACAGGTGAGCGACCTCAGGGCCATCATGGCCCTCTTGTTTTGAAAAGGTCTTGATATTAAAAGTAAACACTGAGCTGCCAGCAAAGTGCAGACTAGCTTGACTCTATGATGGTGACATGGTTGCTGTTGTTGTAGCTATGGCAGTAATAGTTTCCTGCACCAGCTAATCAGCTTGAATTAATTTATTTTCTTACCATATTCATAAAACTTGTGAGATATGATACAATTATCTAGATATTCATTCATTTACTGTGTTATGCCATTCATTCTGTACAACTTCAAGAGACCATAACAAAAAAGGCATTGTCAAACCTTTGTAAATTTTTTTCTCACACTTTCCTTAAATGAAAATATTGACTAGTTATTAACTGCAATAAATATGTGTGTCATTAATTCATTCAGATGGTGGGTTGCTTATCAAGATACTGAAAAGGACAGCTGTGTTTGAAGAGAGGGATCTTTCAGGGGGACCCCCTGCTGCTCAAAATGTGAAATTAAACGTGCCCAAGAAAACCAAATTGTTTGTAGACCAAACAATGAGGGAAAGGGAAAGTGCAGTCAGTAAGTATTTTGACTTGAGAAAATTTTATTGAGGTTGTTGTTATGTTTATATTGGCCCTTGTTAAAGGTGCAATTTGAACCGAAAATAAAGCAACTGGGGCAACCTTTTCACAGAACCATGGAGATTCATTCAACCGTGGCATCCTTTGATGAGATCTTCAAGTCTTTTAATGTAATAAATTATCATAAATTTGTTTCTTTTGAAAGTTAGTTTAAGTGTATGTGCTTGGATAGTTTTGAAATTTCATCTTTTCTTATGTGCAACTAGTGTGTTAATGATATTTCTGTTTATTTAACGTGTGAAGATCTTAAAATATAATATCTCTTATCCTGCATATGGCAACAGATTATAACCATGCTACCAGTGCACACCAAGATCAGCTGGCACATCCATGCCATGTAATCATGGTTTGCACTAGTCATATTTTGTCAATACATATTTTGAAATTTTCCCTAAACATGATAAATGGTTTTGTCCAGATTGAAAGGTAGACAAGTTCACTTAAGTTTGGTTAATATTAAAAATAAGCTCTTGTATATTTGTAGCAATGCACAGGACATTCCAGAGGGACCTGTATTTGTTGAGATTGAATACAGCTAGGGAGTACGCCAAGGCCTTGAATAATGCAATGAATCCTATCTCTACAGATCCCATGGATCCCCTAAAACTATCTGCACAGGTTAGGGATTATTGTTTAATCTTTATATATACTTATTTTTAATGTATTTGAATCATAGTCATACTTCTTTAGAAATGATGTAAACTGATAAATAACATAAAGTATTAAAAGGTGAAAATGTCATTTAAAACAAGCAAAGAGGAAAGGACATAAAATGTTCATTTCTGAAAATTAAGCTTTCAAATTTTGTTGACATAACCCAGTTATCTAGATTCTCAATTTCAAGCAAATTTTGAAATTAACTGAAACTGAAGTCAAGATGAGTGTTTGGTATTTTAAGTGGCTAACTTTCAAATGACTCATCTTAGTTTGGACAGTTTTATTTATCCAAAATAAAGCTAAAACTTCTTACAGCATGGAGTTGATGATAAATATATCCTATGTGACTAATATATAATTCTGCATCCTATGTAAGTTTCATTAATGCTTTTTCTTTATTTTGTTATACAGGTTCAGGGAATAGGGCCCACATTTAAACTGACAGTCAACCTTCAAAACACATCATTAAGTCAAGCATCTACCAATCTCCACATTACATTTGACTATGATGATAAACTTTACAGTTTCCGCAGGACATATATACCTGTAAGTATTATTATACATACATGTTTTTATGGTAGGGTTTATATCACACCACCACTGTTAGGTCCAGCTTTACTGGTGTAAAAAGATCTCGGGTGCCCCTCATTGCATTATTTCAGTCACAAAAGGGTACCTGAGTAGAACCACGTGCATTCTGTAAGCTAGGTGAATAGCTTTCTCTCGTAAAAAAAGCCAAAGTCCCCGGTGAGCATTGAAGTTGGAAGTCAAGCAACCTTAACCACTAGGCCATGGATGATAGGCATACATACCTATAAGTATAGCAGGAGATACACAACTATTTAGGCAATGATTAAACTTGTATTAACAGAAGTTTGTTTGTATACTAGTATGTGTAATGTTGAGTCAGCAGTAACAATAATGGCCGAGTCCCAGATTTGTCGGTTTCTACTTGTATTTATTTTCATAACTACAATACCTGGTGAAATAAAATCATTTTTCTGAGAAACCTTGTATGATTAATTGTAGTCATTATATTATACATGATGTTGTAAGACTACTTACCTTAAACCGGAGGGGTCAATATCTTTGAAAATTTATTGGCTAAAGGGATGTGTTTGATAATTTGTCTTTTCTTCTGATAAACATTGAAAATTACTAGGTATCTAATATATTTCTGTTAACATTTTAGCCTGTTAACCAGTTAATGCATAATCTTTCATTTGCTATGGACAGAAATAAATTACTTGTTTTATAAATCAGTTTTATAGCCAGGTGAACAAAGACTGATGGCTTTTGATCAGAACAAACTAACAAGTATTCATTTAGTATTTTATGTTTGGCAATTTTATATTTCAGGTTCCAATGTTAGTTCCAGGACTCAATTATACCTTTGAGACTTACATAGAATGCCTGAATGATAAAGGTGTTTCAGACACTGTTAAGGTAAACACAGTTTTTTAGCTCACCTGTCACTTTGTGACAGGGTGAGCTTTTGTGATCGCTTTTCGTCCGGCGTCCGTCCGTCCGTAAACTTTTACTTTAAATGACATCTCCTCATAAACCACTAAGCCAATTTCATCCAAACTTCACAGGAATGTTCCTTAAGTGGTCACCTTTAAAATTGTTCAAAGAATTTAATTCCATGCAGAACTCTCGTTGCCATGGCAACCGACAGAAAAAACTTTAAATATCTTCTTTTAAAGAACCCAAATAGCTAGAGCTTAGATATTTGGCATGAAACATCTTCTAGTGAGTGTCTACCAAGTTTGTTCAAATAAAAGCCCTGGGGTCAAAATTGGCCCCGCCCCAGGGGGTCATTGATTTTCCCTATATGCATATAGTCAAAACTTAAAAAATCTTCTTTTAAAGAACCCAAAGAGCTAGAGCTAAGATATTTAGCATGAAACATCTTCTAATGAGTGTCTACCAAGTTTGTTCAAAGAAAAGCCCTTGGGTCAAAATTGGCCCCGCCCCAGGGGGTCATTGATTTTCCCTATATGCATATAGTAAAAACTTAAAAAATCTTCTTTTAAAGAACTCAAAGAGCTAGAGCTAAGATAATTAGCATGAAACATGTTCTAATGGGTGTTTACCAAGTTTGTTCAAATAAAAGCCCTGGGGTCAAAATTGGCCTCGCCCAGGGGGTCATTGATTTTCCTTAAATGTGTATAGCAAAAACTTAAAAATCTTCTTTGAAAAAGACCCAAATAGCTAGAGTTAAGATATTAAGCATGAAACATCTTCTAGTGAGTGTCTACAAAGTTTGTTCAAATAAAAGCCCTGGGGTCAAAATTGGCCCTGCCCCGGGGGTCATTGATTTTTCTTAAATGTGTATAGCAAAAACTTAAAAATCTTCTTTGAAAAAAACCCAAATAGCTGGAGTTTAGATATTAAGCATGAAACATCTTCAAGTAAGTGTCTACAAAGTTTGTTTTAATAAAAGCCCTGGGGTCAAAACTGGCCCCGCCCCAGGGGTGTCATTGATTTTAACAATATGTGTATAGTAAAAACTTTATAAATCTTCTTTGAAAAAACCCAATGAGCTAGAGCTTAGATGTTTAGCCTGAAACATTTTCTTATGGGTGTCTACCAAGTTTGTTCAAATAAAAGCCCATTGGGTTAAAATTGGCCCTGCCAGGGGGGGGGGGGGGGGGGAGGCCTATATACAGGTGAGCGACCTCAGGGCCATTATGGCCCTCTTGTTTGGATATGTCCTCTTTGTTTTTTGCTGCCTTGTAGTATACATAGTTAACTACTGATATTTGTTTTATTAAGTTTTTAACATATTGTAAATGTTTGAGTTAGATAGAGGTAAAAAAAACAACTAGTTTTAAGTAATTTAACTGTAGCTTTGTGACCCCTCTAAAAAAGGTGTGTCAGTTTGCTTTTAAGAATAGTTTAGCAATTCCTGGAGTATAAAGTCAAGACAGAACGCCTACACAGTGACTTTGTTAAACGATAGTCTGAATTGCTAATTAATTTTAGGCCGGATGCTAATAACGTGATCAAACTTTCTGGCATTTAGAAATTATGCAACTGCTGCATGTAAATTGCTCTCAATGTCTTTTGCTATTTATTTCAGGTGTATGTATTGAAGGAGAACAAAAGCGTTCCTATTATTACAGGAGTTATCAGTATGCCAGTCAGTGAGACACTGGTTGTGGTGTAACATCATTTTTACGTTTTAAACTTAGATTTGTGTCAACAGGCATCATATAATCATTGGATCATTATTCTTTGTGAATTGAGAACAATAATTATGTGAAACATAGGAAACACATTAAGTTAAAATGCACAAATAGTAACTATGCCTTTAGGGTATACAAACTAACGTTATCCATTCTCCAATCCACATTATTTATCTAAACTGTGTAAAATAGCTCTTTTTCTGTTGAATAGAAGAGTCAGACTTTTTTATGTGTCCTAATAATGTCATTAAGTTATCATTCAATTGTACTTTGCAATATTCATCATGCCAGATTTTTCTCTTAATTATCGATGAATAAAAAATTCATGAAGTGATTTCTTTAGATAACCATTGGGAACCTATGTGAAGTCTTTATTTTATAATGTGTTTGTTGTGAACATATTTCACCAATGTGATTTACCCTAAACATCACAGATATAACCATACATTATGTACAAGACTACTTGTGAAATGACTTTACTTTACATTATTTGACTTTACTTGTTATCATTTAGGAACTGTCTAGTTTTAGGTCAAGTTAGTTTTATTATCTAAATGCTATCTATATTGATATCTATTGTCTTGAGAAGTATTGGGCTCGAGTTTATCAAGCCTCATCTGAAGTCTTCAGATTGAACATGGTTGTAACATGAAACACATTTTATGAACTAGTATATGTTAATGATTTAATGTAGTTGTGAGATTTTCCGTCCGTCTTTATTTATTGAATGTGATTTATATTGAAGAATTAAAAAAATTAAATTGACATACTTATCTCTTGTTTTATTGTCCCATAGATATAAGCAGATTTTAGATTAATTATTATCTTACAAAATCAACCTTTGATGTCAGTTTAAGATCGTACCAAGGTCTGGAAATTGTCTTGTTTATTCAAGATTTTCTCATTATTTTCAAGATGAAATGACTTCAAATTATGTAATTGTATATCTGTTGATAAAATGTTATGGTTGATTATCATCTTCGCTAATGGTGAAAGATTTGTGATATCAGATAGATACAATGTGATATCAGTAAATTATATAAATAAGCACTATAGGACTGCGTAATGCGCATAATACGGACATAGTAATTAGGTATGTACAGGTATGTGCGTGCAACTAACATGCAAACAGTATATTACTTTCTTTAAATCAATCTAATTGAAGTAATTAATACAATATTCCATTGGACACATTCCACAAAAGGCACTTTTAAAAAGATCATCGGTATCTTTCGTGATGCATACAAAGTTTGCAAATAAAATGAATATATAGTACATAATTATTTCAGTCTGGTGCCACACAGTATTTACATGAGTGACGTAATTCTGCACTCTTACAATAATTGTTCGAATATATCGGAATTCATCAGTTCTTCTTCTATTACTACTACTAGAATATAAAACATATATATATAAGAACAGTTTGTCACATGTGCTCGCTCATATGGTACATATTTCGACGGCAATGGTGAGTGTAAATAAACCATACACACACATTAAATTCGTCACAGATCTATGAAGTTGCACATCTTCTGATAAAGTCTGATATAAATGTGTTTGTTATCTGGCAGTTTTCCTTAAATGCACCTGAAATTACAAATTCAACATGAATAGTCATGTGTACTGAAAGCAAAGTTTAAAGTTGATACAATGTATATACTTCCTTGTTACATTCTTAACAGCAGAGGTAAAGACTGTTTCTTGTCATGTGTTTTCTTACCAACTAAAGTTTCGTATTTTACGGCATGTAATAGTTTGAGGAGACAATTTAGTTTTATTATCAGGCATTTAAAGCTATTATCCTCATATTCTGGTTCATATGACCAACCAAAGCGTAATTTATGTTTGACCATTCATGTAGTGCATGTACTGTATTTCTACCGCACTGTCTAAACTCTTTAATATATTAATATGAAAGAAGTCATATCGCAATTCGCTTATGAAATTATATTACAAGCATAGATTTTTTTTCATATGAATTATCGTATTGCTTTAAAGTAACATTTACCCGGCAAACTCCAGTAACTGTGTGGTACACCTTTAATTAACTCTAACTGGACTGGCACACCGGCAGCTTCCAGTTTATCATGGTATTCTAAAAATAAGATTTTGAAAAGGGCATGAATGTGATGGCAACTGATCAATTAATAAGATCTAAAGATAGAAAATCGTTTTGTTATAGCTCGTTTTGTTAAGTTAATTGGTAACATGTCTGTCGAAAGTATATGGACATCAAGTATATGGACATCGCTAAAATTTGTGATATGAAAATAACTAGAAAAACGCGTTTCGTATATGCACTAAACCGGTGTGCGTGTGTGCGTGCGTATTTATTGTATTGTATGTATTTATGTTTGTATTTTAAGTCTAATGAGGTTTTATAAGTCAATTCTTGCACTGATATTTTGGACACGGGAATTTCACCATTCATGTCTTTAAACTTTTCAAAGTTTATAATTTTTATATTTTATATCAGTAATTCACTGAATATACATAACACATGCATGAAGCAGCTAGAAATGAGTTTGAACATAAATTATGTTACCATAGCAACCGTCACGCAACTGGTCATGTTCAGCAACAATGATCAGTGTTGGTGGAAGGTATGAGAAGTCCTTATTTAGTATCACTGAAGCTCTTGGTAAGCTCTTCTCTTCTTCACTAATGTACTGTTCTGCATACCTATCAAAAGTATTTACATGCAGTTTACATATAGCGAATATAGTAAGACAATTCCATTTGCAATAAATCTTACTATATGTAGCATCAATGTCATATGAACATGTTTGCGATTTTTTATATACAGTTGTAACAAAATTATTAATTAAAATTAAGATGGAACTTTATTTTAGTTTAAACTACATGCATAAATTTGCGCTACCTAAAAGCAGGCCATATATACCTGCGTTTCAAATCACGTACCAATCTGACCTCCTCTTGGGAAGTAATGGTCCAAATCTGAATTCTTCTGTCGATTTGTAGCCTTTTGTGAAATCGACTTTGGGATAAACCAAAATCTATAGTAAATAAGAAAGAAACACTTTTGACGTTCTTTTGAAGATCGATTGGAAAGATAATAAAGTGTGTCTTCCGGCTATAACTATTTAAAAATGTTCCTTTAGTAATGTTAGTAATATTATGATTATTATTATTATTATTATTATTATTATTATTATTATCGCCATTAACTGAATGTTAACACAAAATAAGACAAGAATAACTTGCTTCAAAGTCTATAAGTGAAAAAGCATCGTGGCAGACGACAGCTGCCAGACGACCACCAGCGCTATCTCCCACCACTCCAATCTTGCTGTCTGATTCACCACCTAAAAGAAACAACATTACAGAACATTAAGTATTCTAATGATGATGTTATTATTTAATTGGAAAATGTAAAAACACAAAAGCAGTATTCGAATGTAAGCAGACGAATTCGGGTGAAAGCGGTGATATTATTTAATGTTATGTACATTGTATGTATAAAAGTACACCCTCCCCCGAAATACAAACTTTCATTACAAAGAATTTCAACAGATGTCACAGGGCTTACCGACTTCCTTTTTATTCTCAGATACCCATTCCACAGCACGTTTAGCATCGTCATTATTAGCCGGAAACTTGTGCTCCGGTGCCAGTCTGTATTCCACATTGACGACTATACACGGTGTATCCCTAAAAAGAATTTTTAAGAACATGGTATCTTATCATATATATGGAATTGTCTATGATTTGATTGTTCGTGTAGTCTATAATCATTTCCGTGAATTCATGAATTAATTAAAATCGTGAATTCGTGAAGATGAAATAGTGAATTCTTAAGTTCAATATGTTGCAATCGTTTGCTTTTGTTTTTTATAAGTCGAAAGTGTGAATTAGGGAAGATTAGTTTAAACATATTTATGTTAATATTTCATCATATTATACATTTTATAAGAATGTAATTATTACATATTATTTAAATGGATTAGAACGAAAGAAAACTCATTTGGAGACCAAGTGAAGTTGATATCCCATTTGTCTTTCGTAGAATAACCAAATTGTTGTCCGATTTAAGCATTTTACTATTACATGTCATTTAAAACACAATGTTTTCATTTTGCATACTCAGCAGTGCACTGCATATGTGTATTTTTTAAACTACCTTTTTGAACGGACTTACGTACCTAGCTAGAAGTTTGCAAACATTTTCGTTGGTTTTTCTGCTTTTGATAACGTTACCACCACCGTGGAAGTAAACAACAATAGGTACTGTAGATTTGTCACAAACTTCGCTCTCTGGTTTGTAAATTGTAACAGGGATCGTATCTAAAATACATGTATAATTATGTCTAACATGTCATTCCATTGGTATTGATACATGTATTAAATTATCGATGTAATAGAAATACTGTAATAGAATAATAAGTTAGAAATTTAAAGCTTTAAAATGGTACAGACTTGCACGTGCTAAAAACATGAAATTGTGTTTGATATTTATCTATACACTATCTCAACCCTGTTAGATATATTAAGACCTTTCGCCCTTACTTGGTTAAATATGTACGAAGTGTAATAAAACTTTGTTGAAATGTAAATTATGTACATATACAGATGACTAAGTTAAATATTTACAATATTTCTCGACGGAACAAAACAAAAATCTAGCAAAAAGAAATAAAGCATTTTATACTAGTTGTAACAAAGTTTGCTTTACTCACACATATAATTTTGTATTTATTTTGTTGATGTTAATATCTTTTATTTAGGTGTATCATGTCGGTATGAGAACTACGTGTGTATTATATGTAATCATGCCATACACTACTTGACGATAATAATATCATAGTTTACCTGTGTTTGTCGTAGGTGGTATAAAATGTTCGTTTTCTGTCCCGTTAAACTTTACATGTCCTCCATATTGTTGAGCTGTCTTTCTTGCTGCTTCTCGTGTTGTTTCCACCGCATACCTTTCATCTGATTTTGCTTCAGATTTACCTTTGAGATAATCCACAGTTTCCCGGTGTGGATTGTAGGTTTCAATATAAGATTTTAAATCAAATGACATCTTTATTTCACTTAAATGTTTATCTGTTCGGGTATTTCTTTAAACTTATGTCAGATGGTACATGAATGTACTACAAATTTACTGACATAGAAATGTGATAAACAAATGTTATGCTAGTGATTAAACACCACTGACAAATCTGTAATACACTCGTGAGTACCAAACGTCTTAAGCCTTAATCAGGAGATGGCATCCCGAAAAAATGTATTACGTGTGCACGCTTAAAGCAGCACGCCCCTATATTCATGCTTATTTTCATGACCAGTTTTGAAATGTTTTTAAACATTACCCATTACCAATGGCACTTACAACCCGCGCGCATTAATTACCAAAAGGAGATTTTTAGAAATATGCAAAAAAGCCCTTACTGCGTAGTCACTTACTTACTTACTCGAAATTTCAACTTACTAACCCGAAATTTCGACTTATTAACTCGAAATTTCGACATACTAACTCGAAATTTCGTGTTACTTATCTCGAAATTTCGACTTAATAACTCGAAATTTCGACTTAGTAACTCGAAATTTCGAATTAGTAACTCGAAATTTCGACTTACATTGCACGACTTTCATTGGTTGCCGGTGAAAGCAAGGATTGAATTCAAGATACTTTCTTTAGTGTGTTGCTGTTGCACATTGATAGAGCACCTTTAACATTTATTTAACAGAGCAATTTAATAGGGTCAAATTGTCCATATGTTTCGCTTATTGTGGAGAGGGGGGGGGGGGGTGTAAAATCACTCTTTCCACATTTCCGTGTTAACCGGATGTTTCTTTTTCTTAAGCACACATACAACCATCATGTGGAGAAACAACAAGTTCAAAACCTATCCTATTGTAAACTGTGCAATATCATGTGTTAAATAAGTTTTAAATGGCGTGTATACGCCAGTTAGTCTGTCACGTTTCTTTATACTAATAATGTTTTTGTAACATTATTCATTATTTACCAATACTTTGATTCATATTGTGTTGATAAAAGTTGATAAAAGTGGAACTTGTTGTTATAAAAGCATCCGATTTTACAAGAAATGTAGTCAGTCCAACAATTTTGACAAAGGCCTCAGCACGCCCTATTTTGGCCACGCCGCGATACTTTCCTCAGATGTCCCACACGTGAAGTATATAGGATCGTTTTATTTACAGGGATGAAAAGAATATGATTAGCGAAAAGACATGTTCGAACAGATGGGATACAATACAACGTGTGAAGAACGCCTGAACGTACAAATTAATTAAAGGAAGCCTTGTGTTTTTTAGGTCGGGTGTGTACATGCCATTACTAAGTTTAAGTTTCATTTCAATAGTTTTTGTCCAGGCACCCGTTCCTCCATCTCCATCGTTCAACGGCACTCCCTACTATATCTTATATCATCTAACTAATAACTTTGGCCATTCTTGTAATGTTAATAAGTCGAAATTTCGAGTTACTAAGTCGACATTTCGAGTTATTAAGTCGAAATTTCGAGATTAGCAACTCGAAATTTCGAGTTAGTATGTCGAAATTTCGAGTTAATAAGTCGAAATTTCGGGTTAGTAAGTCGAAATTTCGAGTAACTAAGTCGAAATTTCGAGATAAGTAACTTGAAATTTCGAGTTAGTAAGTCGAAATTTCGAGTTAGTAACTCGAACTTTCGAGATAGTTAGTCGAAATTTCGAGATAAGTAAGTCGAAATTTCGAGTTACTAACTCGAAATGTTGAGTTAATAAAAACATACACCTGGCACTAATGCTCTTCCGTAGTAACACAATAAAATAACATATAAATTATAACTTGAATCTTAAATTTAAAATTTTAAAACATTTTTCTCAACTAAGTTTGATTTATTGGAATAGTTTGGCTCATCTTGGGGCATGCAGATTTAAATTGCTTCTAGAAATTCGAGTCACCATTATAATGAACATTTCGTTATGGCTCTAAATCCGGACAGTAAAAACTAGTTACTGGTTACAACTTAGAAAATTGGTTATTCGTTTTTTATATGTATAACTGTCTGTTCTTGAGTGCTCTTCAAAGATGAATAAAGTAATGTTGGAACTTTGTTATCAATAAAAGTTTGTTATTAAACCATTTTTATCGTACATGTAGTCTACAATAATATTATACTATAAAATTAATGTAATAAAAATATTGTCAACACAATTATTGTTTCTTGCATGCTATAATATAAAGAAATGGTTGAATATAATAGACACCTTTTGTGTCAATCATGTACAAACAAGTAGATAAAACATAAAAAAAATTATATAAATTCAATATATTTTCAAATTATACCTTATGTATCACTAATTTATCAGATATATGACACTTGCTTTGTGAAATATGTATATGTTTCCACCTTTTTTCTTTCTCTTCAACATTAGTACACGTATGATCTGCCTATTTTGTGATGCGATTATCTATTGATATCATTTTTGTGGACGAGGAACTATGCTCATGTCTAAGAAACAAATATTTTTTCTGTACTGTATACAAATACGTATATAAAACGAAAACAGTAACTGTATGATATTTTATTCCAATGTTACAAATCGAAGACAAACATTTTCTGTCAATTCTTTATCTAAAAGTTACCCAATTTGATTTAAATCATCACCTAAATAACGCTAAGACATGCAAATATAAGGGAAATCTGAGATTGATAGTTTATGTGTACTAAGACACACGATCCGGGGACCAACCAGTACTGAGCAATGAGCCAAATGCAACGACTTGTCCCCGATAGGGTTTGAATCCACGCAGCTAGATTATTTAGATTACTTCTCCGAAACGTTATAACCATTTGGCCATCCCGCCTGTATCTTGATACATGAATAACTTTTATGAACAATACTATAACTATTTACAATATTTACGGTTTTTATTGAAACATCACATATATGTCATTTTTTATCAAAATCATCTTTACAAAATCCTAAATATTTATGCTTAGAACATACTCTTGTTGAACGAAACGAAATTTGCCTTTTTTGTACATCTGTTCATACTTTAACCTAACAGTAATAATTAAGTCCGATAATGTATTCAGATATAGACCACTGAAGTGTGTTAGTTTAAGTTCCGGTGACTAACTGCCCATAATTTAAGTACCTTGTACATGTATTTAATTACTATGCAAAACATTTATCAAAATTAGGTTTTGGTGATTTCACTAGCAAGTCAGTAGTTGATGCTAGCATGTCATTGTCTAAATAGCATTTCTAATAAATCCGTACCAAAATTAGAAAAGGACGCATATAAATAGCGTATTTCTCTGTTTATATTATAAAGTATAAATGTGGACACTCAATAATTATATTCAGCATCACTTGGACAAACTATAGTATGTTTTAGTTATTATAACAGTGGTCTTGGATGAACTTCACAGCAGCAGCATGTGCTTCTCTACAATTCTCTTTGTATGCAGCTGTAAATAAATAAATAAATAAATGAATACTTTGTCTTTATAGAGATAGCAATGACTCTGTAATGAAGAGATAACGGTCGTTTTACTAAAACATACTAAATATGCATTTATTACAGTTGTGATTTTAGATTTGCTGCATTCAATAGCAATTTGACCAATATTCCCAGACCATGTCACAGCTCTAGCTATATAGGCATACACAAGGTTGTTTTTTTTTAAAGAAAAATCTTTAAAAAAATAAAATAACATGCATGGCATTAATACTGAGAAGGCATACACAAGGTTGTTTTTTTTTAAAGAAAAATCTTTAAAAAAATAAAATAACATGCATGGCATTAATACTGAGAAGTAATTTTAAAAAGCTGTTTATTGTTTTGCTATTTATAAGATTGTTAAATAACTCATTGTCTGAAAATAGTTACTATGTTTACCTGTAAGACTCCAAAATGCATGAGGCACACCTTTTATTGTTTTCAACTCTACTTTAACACCTGCTTGCTTTAATTTCTCATAATATGCTACATAAAAGAAAAAATAGATACTTGATAGGATGAAAATATAGAGAGGAAATGGAAATACAATGAACAAAAAAATCTAACAAAAATATGTTTTTTAATTCTTGAAATTTATATGATTTAACATACGTGAATGCCAGAGAAACATATGGTTGTTTTGTGAACTTATGTATGACAGCTTATTATTATATAGAGCTAGAATTCTAATTATCTCAATTCCGATCTTCTAATTAAAGGAGATTTTATTAAAAGCTCCAGAGAAAAAATGAAATCCTATAGTCACTTAATATCATTTATGAAACGAACCATAACATCCGTCTCTCAGAGGATCAAGATCAGCCACAATAATCTGTGTCGGTGGAAGGTATGAAAAGTCTTTGTTCAGTATTACCGAGGCCCTTGGTTTGTTTTTATCTTCATCTGTGATATATTGGTCTGTGAACCTGAAATCAAAGTTCTCCTATTTTAAAAACTAACAGTCTCATTATGAATATATCACCAGAATGTCTTTGCACAAGATTGGAAATTAACAAATGCTTTGTTAATAATTTACAGGCACAGACGTTATGAAATTAATCAAACAAATCGAAAAGATTACTATCATGTCTTTGATATAAAGAACAAGCATGTTATGTGCGAAATGTTATCTTGATAGAAAAGAAGATTCACCATACTATAAACATGCTCAATTAACAATGATAATCAATGTACTAATTAATATGGAGCTTTCTTAAAACAATTAACAAACAGATGGGAAAAGAAGGTGCTTTATATTAGGGTTAAAATAAATATGTAATTTTAATATCAAAGCGTCTATCAAGTAATAAACAGTACAACAGGGGATATGGGAAGTGGGTGAATGGTCATGTAATTGAACCCACCATTTCATTATAGGCGTTGAAAGTACTGGACCATCTTTAAATTCTTTATGTGAAGGATACACCGCTGCATAACTTACACTTGGATATACTAAAACCTAAAATAAATATTGCCATGACAACAGATCTTACCATTTAATTGTCGTTTGAGACAGACTCGGACCATCTCGGAACTCTTCATTTGAAGGGTGTTCAAAGTTCATACTGACACTTGGATAAATCAAAATCTGTCAAAGTTTATATGTCACAAAAATGATTATCAATAACAAAATAAGTGTTATATGTACTAAAGCTACCCAACAAAATGGTAACATTATATTTCTTCTCGAATTTGTTTCTGTCAAATTGAGAAAGTGATTTAAATGATGTTAAATTTTGATTTTAAATACCGGTAACAATGCAATTTTTCTATAATTCAAAGCAAGGTATTCAATGACTTTGTGTTTATAACTGTATAGTTGTCTACATACATTATATAATAACAACAGGTTAATCGTATAGCATACATACTGCAAAGTCTACCAAGTCTTTAGCTTCGTGACATACAATAGCCGCTAATTTTCCACCAGCGCTATCCCCAGACACACCAAGTTTACTATTTACATTACCACCTGAAATAGTATGAAATAATTACATTTACATAATCTCGTTAAACGAACTATTCACTGCCACTAATTACATTACCCCCATTTTCACGAACATTTATCATCTACAAAAAGTGGAAAACAAATATTTATTTTTATAAACTTTAAAAAGACCTTTACTTAAAACTAGAGAACGTACCTATGGTTGCCTTGTTTGCTGCCACCCACTGTAGCGCACAAGTAGAATCGTCTATATTTGCAGGATATTTGTGTTCTGGTGCTAAACGGTACTCAACATTCACAACTATACATGGTGAATCTCTTAAAAATAAGCATGCCGAATTATTTCCGGTCTATAGCTAGATATAGGGCCTGAGTATATTTTCAGATATGTTTCAGATAAGCAAATACGTATTAGTTACATAGTTTGTAAGGCTTAGTGTGAAACAGCTTCATAAATATATATAATATGTTTTGAGAATTAGCATGTATGACTGTTTAAGAGTTTTGTTCTATATAACTTTAATTGTTCTTTACACTACATGTAAGTGTATTTATCAAGAATCATTGACAAATATTTACCTTGCTAAAATTTTGCATACAGTTTCATGGGTTTTACGGCATCCAACAGTATTTCCACCACCATGATAATATACCAGTATACCAGGGGCAGGTAACGTATCACAGGATGACGGCTTGTACACAGTTACAGGTATACCATCTGAAATGTCCAACTTCAATATCAGACATGCGCGTTCAATTCAAAGTTGCAATTTTACGAGTTAAGTTATAATTAAGGCAGCAGACCACACTAAATGAAGCCGCAGCTTCGAATGGCCAGGGAGGATTTCATGGATATAGTGACTATTGTGGATTTAAATGACTGGTTGTCTTTAAAATGCATTTTCAGCATGAAATTTGTTTTTGTGACATGTAATATGATCATTGGCAAATTCGAAAACATGGTTAGAAATCACATGCTGATAATTATTGATGTCAAGGTCGCCATTGTTTGTAAACATTGCTTTTAAACAGCATGCTCGGTGAAAACAAGTAATTTTACAGGGGGGTACAAACTTTCAGCAATAGCAAAAAATCTACAAGGCCAAGCACCTATTTCTTTGTGATATTTTGCATGCATAGGGAGTTGCTAAAGTAGTGACAGAGTTTTTGTAGACCGTATATTTGCAGGTATTTTTTGCAGAAGGGACGAAAAATGTTATTTTGGGTCTCGGACCACTATAGATTTTTGGCTTTTACGGAATGAATTGGAATTTTTTTAACTGCCTGACTGTTGCATATGGGATGATTTCATTACAGATTTGCAATGGTATGACATATATGTTCTTAACAAAATGTGTTTTCTTTTTCCAGGTTGTGTAGTTTGGGATCAGATTTATCAGACATATTGCTTGTAGGACATTGACGGCAGAAACTTGAAATTTAGTGTGGAGTGCTACCTAAGTATGGCATCGTTAATGAAACACTTTACTTAAAATCTAATCATTTATCTTTCAAAGCGATTCGAGGTTGTCAACATAATGCTTACTTAGCATCTAGCGTGACTATTGGTTAGATTGTAAGATAAAAATACTGAAATTTCTATCAGGAAAAACTTGCCTTTGCAGTGTGGAGATGGAATGATAAACTCCGTTTCTTTTCCGTCAAGGTTAACTGTACCACCATATTTTATTGCTGCGGCAACACTCTGTTTCCTCGCCTCTTCTACTCCAACTTCATAATATGGTTGAACATTATCCGCAAGCCTCGCTTTGAAAAATTCTATTGTTTCAGGATGGACGTAATATTTCTTTACGAACTCCTCAAAATTAAATGACATGATTGTATTGTCAGTTTACAACTAAAGATAACTTCATGGATTAAACTGAAGGGAATGCATATAGATTAACAAATTGTGTAAAGTTTTATCAGAGGACGAGGCCAACTTTACTATCATAATCTCATGTAGACGCACGCTCTTAATTTTAACTGATATTAGATAAGAGGTTGTGAAATGTCAACCTTGATTGTGTTGTATCTGTAGTATTACAGGACATAATGAAGTCATACAAACACAGCATGCACTAGATGTATCGCATACCGCAAATATATCAGTAAACAAACAATAACGTATATTTTCTTCACCATCTATCAATTAATCTATGTAGTATTTACTAAAACTTGACAACAGTAATTAATATATAAGGCCTATCTATAATCCCCCAAAAATATGGAAGTTGCATTAATAACTACGCCAATGTTATAGCTAGACGTCAGTGAAGAATAATAATTAGAACACTGCATTAGCCTTGATATCGTAGAAGCTGCGAGAATCACATATGGAACTCGTTGGGGTCATAACTTTCGCAGAAGCGGTGTATCCATCGCAGTAGCGGTGGAGTACGTATTCGTCGCAGAAGCGGTGGATAAGAAAAAACCGTTTGCTGTTGTCGAGTTTATGAATTTTGTTTTATGTTATAATGTTTATCTGGAAACACCTAGTGAGACTGGAGGCTACATATGTATTTTTCAAACTCTGCCATTTATGCAAACACTCTTGTACGGTTTGACGGGGGGGGACGCCAAAACACGTACAAATGTGTGCAAAACGACCCCTAAATACTACGGCATAGTATAGTTCGTATGATACTTGTAAAAAATCAACCATAATTTGGAACTTTAAAAATGTCAGCAGACATGTATAAAAAAACTTTATATACATGTAATACTGCTGTAATGTCACTTTTCATTTGATAATAGTGGTGTTTATATAGTTTTACATACATGTATGTACACAGCTTATGTCGATTTATGAAGAAAGTTCACTTTTTTCTCAAATAAAGAAATTTGCTGTATTAAGATTCGTTATAAATTCCTGACAGGTTATATGACCGTATATAAATGGTTGTTTGCAATATAACCATCGTCTACTGGCTCGGGTAATATTTCCAAACAACCGTTTATACAAGGGAATATAACCTGTTAAAACTCTTTATAACTAATAAAAAAACGTCAAAATTATCCAAGAAAATCGACCTTACAAACGTGCAGTATTATTATATGTTTAATAAACTTTTCTGAGAATATGTAGCAGGTACTAGCTTGTACTGCATTACATTTTGAATCTTAAATGTGAATTAATTAGTCTTTATTCTACAGAGGAAGTCTTCGTATTGTCTGACCATCCACTGTATTTGATATAAAAAATGTAAATTAAATATTCTTGCATCTAATATAGTTTCATATATATGTTTCCATATAATTTTATAGCACCATTTGATTCCTGATTTTTATTTTTTATTCAACTTATTAGTAAGTACTAATTAAGTCAATTAATTTATAACAGGTAGGTATATTCACGTTAATATACGTACCTGTTTATAAGTATAAAACCATGTTTTTTTCTAATTTAACAGAATAATTTGTTATCTTTTTCATAAAACATACTTTTAAATGTAAGTTGTATGTTAAATAAGAAGAAATATAAACATACATGTAATTATATTTTTTGTGTGTGACAAAAAACACTTATGAAAATTACCTCATGCATAGATTTACTGTAAGAAAAGGGATGCATGTGTCTGTTAATTCGGTGGGTCCAATGACAGACTTGCTAAAACATCAGCTAGTAACTTGGCATCAAATCCTTCTGTTACCATTTATATAATAAATCTTGTGATACTACAGTGTGACTGTGGGTTGGGGCGAAGTTTATCATTGGCAGCTCTGTGCTAAACATTTCAATATTTTTTATATTTGACTGTGTATGGGGAATCACATACTCCGGCTGTCGTATGGCAAGGATTTATAGGCAAACTCGTGTTTTGCTGTTGTGTTGGGGTCATTGCGTTATATACAGTTTATAAAACTGTTTTCGAGAATATACGTGTTTATTAGTTGTCGAGAATATGCGTTTGTTCCAGTTAGGTTCAGAAGTGATATTTACACCCAGCTATTTTGCATCACATACAATTATACTGAATTGTATTGCTGTTCGTGTTTGATCACGTTGTGTGAAGGTTTTTAATGGGGATGTCTAAATTTCGATCTGGTGCTGTTAAGCATAGGCGCTTGGTTTCGGGATAAAAAAACCATTTGAGAGGTTTGTAGAACTCAAATTTAATTGAATGTAACGATTTTTTAACATAGATACCTATATGTCTCTCATTTTCCCGATGTTACTAAAAAGGATGTTGGATTTGTACAAGGGGCTAATGTGTCTCCCGCTGTTGTAACCTATTGATACAGACAATGTTATTAATGTAATTAAAGCCCCGGGATGAGGGGAAATAATAATAGCGACCGGGTCAACTCGTACCGGGGTTAATATTCCGGGGACGTGAAAGACAGGAAATAGCATTTACCAGATCCAAAGGGGAGTAACTCGAAAAAAAATGTGCATAACCAATTAATTTATTTATAAAAAAAATAGACCATTATTAACATTATGACGACGATACGGCAGTTTACTTGCGATGACTTATTTAAGTTTAATAATGTGTGAGTATAATTGTATTAAATACCGTCGCACGGGTGTTTATATTACAGATTAGCTATTTCAGTATTTGACTAGTATTCGGATATGCACCTATTTACGGGTGGTCATGATTATGATACGTTGGCCTACGCATTTTCACAGTGCTTGTTTTTTGTACGTGCCCGATAGTAACATAATATTTTTTTGGAAATTGTATTCGCCACTCTTTGAAAAAAACGAACAAAAAAAACACTGAAGCCTTGGACAAAATAAATTGTCCTACCGCCTATCCTGACATGAAATATTTATTTTCAGACCTGCCAATGAAAATAAAATCTATTATTAATAGAAAGAACTTGAATATCTGCTTTTTATTTTTACTTAATGATAAAATATGATCAAACTATCTATCTATCAACATTTTCTTGTATTTCTCGCAAAATCTTAGTGCACTTAAACAGGTCTGCTTCATAAGGCAAATACCTGACATCAGGTAATTTCCTTGTTATACCACAATTCCTAATTTGATATGCTTCCTTTGCCTTATTGACATAACAATGTATTAACGCTCAAGATTTTTGTTCATTCACCTGGGAGTAGCACAATAATCAAAGGGTCCCGGCACAGTGTTGGGATAGTGTAAAAAAGTAATTCTTAAAAAAAAATATATACTGTATATATAATATATAGACAAGGGGTTGAACTCGCCAAATCAGCCGAATGCCCCTAGTCCAGTATAAGTCTATATATTATATATATACGAGGGGTGATCCAAAAATTCGTGGACACGCTGCATAAAACAAAAAGTAATAAAGCAAATCACATGAAATTCTAGTATCTTATGAAGTGAGCATATGTCGACAAATTCTCAAAATATTGTAAAGATTGTACAAGAATTAACGATTCTGCACCAGTTTATATACATAGACATGACAAAACGCGGCGCAGCTCACGACGTCACAAACGACGTTATGCTATCATATATATAGGAAGTAATCTATTGTTACCGTTTTGCCTTATAACTTTTCAAAGTATTCCCCTTTAACCCGCACACATTTTTCATGGCGGCGGACTCAGTCTCTAAATGTACTCGCATACCATTCCTGGCTGAATGATGACAGTATGCATTGGATGGCTCCTCTCAACTCGTCCAGATTGTCAAAACGTTTCCCTCACAACTCTTTCTTTAACCTGGGAAACAAGGCGAGGTCACACGGGGAAAGATCAGGCGAATATGGTGAATGACTGAGTACTTCTGCTCCAAGCTGAGAACTAGAGAACGACACATTGACGGTTTATTTGTCACACTTTCGATCATTGTTTTTGTCTCGCCAGGCGTCTTTCCAAGATTTATACAGAACTGTATAACTGTCCGAAGGTTCGCTGGATCCGTGACGTCCATTTTTGATAAAGCTGTTTTTAGCACTTGCTCTTTAAAGCACGAGCGTAAAATAACCGCAACTTCAAAATGTCTTCTAATACTGACACTGAGAATGACGTCATACACATCAAAACAACATTATTAAAACGTTTCTCACAATTTTCTTTGTTTGCACAGGTTTTACATGTGTTTAAATGAGATGAAAACGTTTACATCACAGAGAAAAAGTAAGCTGCGCCGCGATTTTGATACTTAATGTTTTTATATTGTCATATATAGATAAAAAATGCAATTGGTGTTTTAAAATTTGGTCAATTTATTAAAAAGCATTGATTAATAATATCCAAAGAGTTCATTTCGATAGGACGTCACGTTATGGAGATACACACATTGTCCACGAATTTTTGGATCACCCCTCGTACAGTATATATTTTTTTTTTAGAATTACTTTTTTACACTATCCCAACACTGTGCTGGGTCCCTGTGACAATAATAAGTACATATTTTTACCACTTTGACTTTTGGACATGTTTTGCACATAAAAAACCATCAAAATCATAAAAAAACATCAACATTTATTTGCATTTGTCACAAATCTTTTTCAAAGTAAGATGCTATATAGCTGCCAGGGCCAAAAAACCCTTCTTTGTGGAGGCCAAAATAGGCTGCTTCCCCAACCAAACTAGCCTCTGAGGCCCCTTCTCCAAAAATGGTGTTTTGGCCCTGGCTGCATAGATTCATGTGCCTATTTAAAAAAAAATAGTAGTTCAGCAAAAAGCACTGACAAAGATTTCATACAATGAATTAAGAAATAAATTTTACCATAAATTCTCTTTCCTGATAGTTTGGATTCACCAGTTTGTCCATTTTTCTTTGTACATAATTTGGTCAAGAAAGATAGTTTAAGTTTTAAAATTAGACTGGCTTTAAGCCTCTTTGCAGTACTTTCCATCTTCCCTTGAAATTAAGAGTAATACTCGTAGCTTAAAGCATGTGATCGGGAAACAACAATAAAAATGTGACTTATTTGAATAACAGTAGATTTCCAGGATTTATCAGCAATTCTGTTCTGAGAGATCGTCAGAACACACTGTACTAGATTTGTAAATATTTGTAAACACACACAAATTGCAACTTCTGCCTTTATATAGGAATCTTTAGACGCAAAAAGTTAACATATTTTCATGTAATTTTTTACTGAGAATCGCTTGCGAAAATAAGTTTTTTGCGAGATTATCATGAATGAAATACAAAAATCATGTATATATTGTTATTTACATTTACATTTTAAGGAATTTGTGGTATAATAAGACAAACACCTGCTGTCATGTATTTGCCTTATGAAACAGACTTGTTAAAGATTATAGAGAACCATCATATATCAATCAATATATATGCATGTCAGTTTGGGTGACAGACTAACAGGAATATTAATGTCTGTCCAGTGCTTGCATTTCCATTAACACCTGTGTCATATTGAGTATTGCTAGAATATATTCTTTTAGCATATTTGGGTAATAATATGGTAATTTTGGGTAAATAGAGGTGTCCCTAGAATTACAATGTACAGTATATATATATTCATGTTGTCAAACATTATTGCATATATTTATATTTTGATATTAAATTAATTATTGCATTTTTTTGTTTTCTTTTTTTTCAGGAATTTAGATCCTTTGACTGAAACAGTATCCTTTAAATAATCTTGAATAAACGGTCTGAACATGGTAACTCCACTGGTCATCATTGTTTTTCTTTTGGGATTATAGTCATTATGGTTGGCTTTTGAAAGTTTTGATATAAACATACATGTACATTCAAATTTTACAAGCATTTTGAATTTTTGTCCAATTTGATCTTTTTACGGCCAAATGGTTATGTACAGTTACCTGTTAAATCATAAAACTTTGTAGTTGTGGGTACCCCTGAAATGTTGAATTTTATCATGTTACTTGATTTGTCCAGTTGTCAACTAATGTAATGTTGGAAATTCAATAAAATGATGCTAGTTTAACTAACAGTTTAAACAAATAAGCTACAAAAAACAACAATTTATTAACTTTAGGGGTCAAAATTATTTTACAATTTATTAGAGCGTAACATGCAACTTCAAGAATCTTATTTGATAGGGATTTAGATCAAATTGAATCAGTTTTATCCACTGTATAGCAAATTAACTATTTAATATATCTGTTAGTACAAGTTTTTACAATAACCTTCCAGAATTAACATTATAGTTAGGTGGATATTCTGGTATTTTACATACATGTATAAAATGTACTGCATGTGCTTTTCAGGTCATTCCATATTAGTGTATTTTGATGATTCCTTAAAGACAATTGGTCCCAAATAACTAGTAAATTTTGATATAAAATATAAACAACCCGATTTGCATATTCCCTGTAGAAAGTACTGTTTGTAAAATTTCCTTGACAAATTACCAGTATGGCTTACCATTTTATATGCAGTATATGGCTCATTGGCCAGAGTACTTCCAAGTGGCAGAGTCACCTTCCGGGGAAATTATGGGATATAGTGAGTATACATGTATACTTATTTACATTATAATTATTGTATAACAGTGATGGTTATTATCAGTGAGGCTCAGACTTCAATCATAACAGCAAAATGAAGGTATAATGAAAATGTTGAAAAGATGAATTAGAAGATAAAAATATTACCTCAAAATGAATGAAATAAATTTAATGTTATTCTTAAAAGGAAGTTATTTCAGTAGCAACCAGTTTCCAGTTCCCAGATATCTACATGTGCTTATTGTAATGGGGGTTTAGGGCTCCTTGACTTGTAATTACATTGTATGATAAATTTACAATTTATTACTATTTGATATCATTTGAGAGTGTCCTAACTTAAACTAGGTCATCTTTCAACAAGAAAACTTTTCTGTTTTAACAAATGCTTTTTTTGCAGTTATAGAGTGTTTAAATATGAAATTTATTTTCAGTAATGGGTAAAGCAGAGGGTAATGGCGACCAGTGGCATGGTCATGTTACTGCTTTAACAGTAGCCCCAGAATATAGACGTCTTGGCCTTGCTGCGAAACTGATGAGCAATTTGGAAGAAATCTCTGAAAAGTTAGTGTCACAATTGTATTAACAATATTCTATTGATAAATGTTTCATATACTTGATAGATTTCAAATAATTGACAGTATACATACAGTCATGTAGTTGTTAATACAGTATTTATAAATATTTCATATACATGATCGCAAATCATTGATTATACAAATTGAATAGAAAAATTTCAAAAGCTTTTTAAAGAACCACTCTGTTTGCTGTTGTAGTGAATTAGCCGCATGAAGACTACGTCACATGTTCAATGCAACAGTATAGTAACTTGATAGAGTAAACCTTTAACCTGCTGAAAAGGCAATATTGGACTTGCTCAACTTTGAATTTAGAACAGTCCATTTAAAATTTAAGGGATTTCAGAGTCAAATACAAACATTGAGGTACCAACGGTTTAGAGCCTAATTTGACGGCATCTGTCCAGGCAGACCTGGCTTTATACTGGTGGCGAATGCTAATCCTTTGCAAATCCAGCAAAATTAGGGTTAAAGAACAAGTTGCCACAATGTTAAAATATCCCATACAATATTTACTATGTTTAAGTATTTAGTGTGATAAGCAAAGAGATAAGCTTATTTTGGTAAAGTTTTTATGATTTTACACTGAATATGCAAATATTCAAAAAAATATGTGAAGTTTTTCCTGAATACTTTCGTTAGTTTTGTCTTTACATAGAAATATCCTAATACTTTTCTAAATTATCTTTAGAAAGGTCCTCTATGAAGGAATGATAACTTAAAGAGGCCAACTTAAAATAATGCCCCTTTTCTTTCTTAGTGTAGAATGTATGCTTGCATAAAATTTTAGGATATTGCAACATTTTTAGTGACAGATTATCCAGCCAGTGTATATAAAGGTGATTACCCTACTCATTTGTTTTGAATAATACATTGAAGGGTGTTTTAGCCGGCTCTTTTATGTCCAGAAAATAGATAAAACAACAAAAGACAAACAGACAAAACAATCACAACATAATACTATATAGTGGTCCCATAAATATTTTATGCACCTACTATTTATGGGGTGTGGCATATAGATTTTCCCTTGTCCATCTCCTTGTTAAGGTATCACACTGTCTGTCTGTAAGACTGATAAATCTGTGAAGTTTAGGGACAACTTTTTATTTAACTCTGCATTAAAAAATTGTAAATGTAGTACTTGTTATTTCCCTTTGATATGAAAGCTTAGGGGCCAGTTACACAGACAGTCGGTCCCCAATCGGTCATTTAATTTTAAATTTACTCCTGTTATGATCGGTTGTCATGTGTGATTTTATTTCTGGTTTTCTGTGTAAACGGCCATCGGTGACAGAAAGCAAACTCAAACGGGGTGGATCGGTGATAAAAATACTGAAATACTGTCGGTTTTTATTGTTTGTAAATCGGAGCTAAATCGGGCGTAATGCTGATTAATCGGTGTTTGACAGCTAGTCATCAGTGGTTTAACACTTTCCGTCAGATATGGCCAATGATTCATATTTGGTTATCTTTGTCTGATCGGCGATATTGGGTGATTAAGAGCTTGCATATCTCGTGATAAAGGTTGCTGTCGGTAATTTGTAAAATATTTTCACCGATCGAGAATTTTAAACATGTTTAAAAATCCCAATCGGTAATTTTTCACCGATGAAACTTATCTTTCCCCAATAGCAGTTGATAGGTGGAAAACAGGTGACCAATTGGTGATATCGGTGTTAAATACGTTGACATCGGTTCACTCCATAATTTGGCTAATAAAACTACCGATCAATCACCGATGGCTCTGTGTAACTGGGGTGTTACATCACAATATTTGTAAATGTTTGTGACATTGTATGTGTAAATATCAATCAGTGAAATTTGTTATCAATTTATATTTTTCACAAAAGTCCAACCCCTTATCTCAATAGGGAGAGCTTCGGAGTGTAATCTAGGGATTGCTGGCTTGATTCTTAGGGAGATGTTATTTCTATGTTAACAATTGATCTCTGACATTTGTCTAATGGTTATTTGTCAGTCACATCAGATTGAAAAAAAATTAAGTGAGATTTGTAGTTGGTCACTTGTGGAGAAGTTGTTAGCTAGCTGCATTACATAACTTCACATAGATGTTTCAGAGCTCAGTGTATGAAATATTTAATTGTTAACAATAATATATTTTTAGATAGTAGAAACAAAACATTTAATATGACAAAAGCAGCAAAGGGATACAAGTTTGGCAGAGAAAATTGAATAAAAAATAAAGATAAATAAAGTGGTCCTTTCTAGTAACTTCTATTTGGTTAAGGTCGGGTTGCAGTTTGTATTGTTGAAAGTTACAAGTTGAAAATAGTGCTTCAAAATACTCAGTGAATGTTCAGTTTGACTTCTGTTTAATATATACGAGGGGTTATCCAAAAATGGACTTTCTTTGTTGCGTAAAATATATTTGAGATATTAATTTGAAATTCTTACACTGCTTAGAAGAATTAATTACAAATAAACACAGAAAAATTCATGTGAGTAGCTTTTTACATTCCAACAATATTTAATTTTAGATAAACACATGTCGGCGACAGTGGCGCACTCAAAAAATAATTGACGTCAACGTCATAATATTAACGTATAACTTGTGCTTTAACATTACGCAGTCAATGACGGTTACTGCTTCTCAAAGTAATGTCCATCACTAAATTTCTTATGCCACTTTACCACTAATGATCGTGAAATTTTCTTTCCTCTGTTTGTCTGCTGATTTTTATCAAATGTTTTTGTAGGTGTCATCCCCAAATTACAACAAAAATTTATGATCGTTATATGATTGCGCGATTTTCTAATTACCGCGTGTCAGTCATTTTCCCGTTGTAAACAAAAAGGCGTCTGGCTTGACGTCCATTATTTAAAAGAATTACTTAAATGACATCATAGAAGAAACATGCGATGCTCAGCGGGTTTTCTACGTTATTTTTTAGTTTTTATATCAAGAAATATACTAAGACTTACTGCATTTTTTCTACCGTGCGCCGGGTGCCGTGTATATGCTTATTTAAAAGCAATATAAAATCATTATTTGTAGACACAATTGACAGTTCCTTCAAATTGTGTTGATAATATTCTACAATGTATGCTGATAAAATTTCATTACAATACACGTTGACGTTCAAGAGATATTTAGAAAGTCCACGAATTTTTGGATAACCCCTCGTATGTACAATACATAATTTGTATTTCTTTTACAATTATTTATATCTGACAAAAATTTCTTATGAAACAGTCAGTGTATGTACATTTTTTTCTTCTTCAGGAAGCGTTGTTTTTTTGTTGATCTGTTTGTTCGTGTATCAAACAAAGTAGCAGTGGATATGTACAATAAGCTTGGATATAGTGTATACAGAAGGGTTATAGAATATTACTCGGGAGAAGTGGATGAAGATGCTTTCGGTATGATAACATTTCATTATTTTGTGTGCCTCATGTCTATAGTTTCTGTTTAAAGCAGCATGCCTACTGATTCATTCTAATTTTCATGAAAATTTTGAAAATGTATTAAAAAGTAAAATATGGCAAAGTAATCATAGAAAGTAATTTACACGTTGCATTTGGCACTGACAGTCCATGCAAATTACCAAAAAAGAGGTCAAAATATGCACAAAAAAAAGGCCTTACGCAGTAGAAATATTGTGATAGATACTGCCAAATCAGTCCTTAATAGCACATAAGATATAATTTATTACTTGAATTTTGAATTATTAAACTTTTCTTAGAATATTTGTACATTTTCCCAAAGTTTGACCTTGTTGATATATTTTTGGCTCATCTGGAGGCATGTAGGTCAATATATAGTATAGATCTTAAAAAGCTTATTTTGAATTCATTGAGTCTATTAAGTTTATTTAGCATTCTATTTGTATGTGTTCTAGAATCTGTAAAGTTTATGTAGAATTCTGTGTATGCATTAAGTTTATCTAGAATCCTGTACAATGTATGTCTACATTCTAGAATATCATTATGGTCTATGTAATGTTTATAGAATTCTGAATATCTATGTGTATGAAGTTTATCTAGAAGTCTCCATGTCTGAAAAGCTCTGATGGCTAGGTTCAGCTAGAATTTTGAATGCCTTTATTCTAGTTTGTAAGTTTAGAATTCTTTGTATGCATGAGTTCTTTTATAATCTGTAAAGCTTCTCTAGGATTGTTTACTTGTATGTGTTTGAATTCATTGTTAATTGTTCCGTGAAAAGAAACATATCGTGAATGTATATGTTTAGTTAGAGCTTTACATTTTGATATTTGACACTTTATGTTGATTTCTTTGTGCCTCTTTGATCTATAGTATGATTATGTAAAACTTCTTTTAATCATTTGAATGTGTGAATTTTAAGTGATTCCAATATTGAAATTTTTGGGCTCTATTAAAAACATTAGATCAATAAGTTTCATTAATTACTAATTCAAATAAATTGATTTATAATGTACATTTATATTGTAAATGTTCAAGCAACATAACTTGATTTTTTCTTCAACAACTTATGAATGTTAAGATATGTTCATTTTACACAGTAATAGCAAGGTTGAAGGCAGAGACCAGTAAATAATATGGCTATTGAATTGCTAGGCCGACTTAGCTGCCTACAACAAACCTGAGTCTTGTTGCATATATATCTTTCATTTGAATGCCATGATGCAAAGAAATCAGACAGACAAAAACAAAAATGTTATTAATTAAATGAATAACAGTGATATATTAATGTTGCTTAATACCCACCAAACAAAGAATAATTACAGAAATTGTTTGAAATTGAACATATAAAAACACTTGAAATGCATATCTTTGTGATGATTTCCTATGGGAATTGCCAAGATTGGGTGGCAAGTAAATTAAATATGAATCTTTTTTTCTATAGGGCCATCCTTAAAAAAATGTTTGTTTGCAGTAACGCGACCGACTCACAAAATTTGCAGTTAAATAAAAAAAAAAAAAAAAAAAATCGACCTACCTACCCACCTTTAAAATTCTGGGTCGGGTTTCTGCAAACAAACATTTTTTTAAGGATGGCCTAGTCAATAGCTAACCATACCAATCCTCCTTAAATCACCTTAATGCTTCATTATACTCCAATTCAATCACAAAATCATTTTCTCATCAAAGTGTTTTATCACAACTAAACAAAAACTAATCTTTTAATTGATCTTAATTATTATTTTTTTTAAAAATTGATCTTAAGTTATAAGCCTGAGTCAGTCCGAAATTGATGCTGAATCCTAGTCACCTATAAATATTATATATATATATATATACATTAAAAGGTTTATACCCTTCCTAAGGGTTCCAATTTTAATTCTTTAAATTTTAACATACAAGGGTAGTTGCATTTTCATCCTTCTGTTTCCCCATACTTCTGTGGCATTTTTAGCTGCACTTCCATACATTTCTCTTAGTAACTTTATTTATAGACAGATATTCTCTGTATTTGGTAGGAAACTTTGATGGTTCTATAACTGTAGTTGGAGTTAAGGGTCACTGGGGTCAATGACAAGGGTGATGAAAATATATTTTTACACTTACGATCATATAGTCTTCTTTAATTGACTGATGTTTTTCATATTTGATTTGTGCAAACTTTGTGGTGGTCCAACTTTGGGTAGGTTTTGAGGGTCACTTAGGTCAAGGTCACTGGTGCTTAAAATACTAGACTTTAAGCAACACTTTTGCTCATACAGCCATTATAAATTGGCCTACATTATGTATTGAATATACTTTTGGTGGTCTTCTTACATTAGTTTGAAATATATATATTTTTTTCTTCATGCTTTATATTCTAGTATATTATAGTTTTGAAGAGCATTAAATGCACTAAGGGATGTCTTGTTTTTTTTGCAATAAACATTATCAAGATGGTTTATAAAGCTATGTTTTTTCTTTTGATTGTAATTAGAACATATATTTATATTTTATTGGAAGTTGACTCATGTTTGTCAGTTAAATCAGGAACATATATTCACATAGAATACTTATGATTACTTTTAAATGATAATAATAAACATCAGTAAGAAGAAAGAAATACAACAGAAGGCTATTAATTGTATCTAGGGTTAATGATTTTCTTTCATGTTTTAATCTTTATGTATGCATTAAGTGGTCGTATTTTTATAAACTGCATAATAAAGATTGGTTCCAGCTGCTAAAAATACTTTGTTACATATTTCTGGCTCTATATACAGTCTAAGTTCACTGAAACATCCTGTTTTTGTATAAAGCACTAAAAATTAAACAGACATGCTATGAATAAAAAAAATAAATTCAGCTGGCACACTTTAGACCCATTTTAGAAAAAGTTGTTTAGAACAATTCATCTGCTAGACTAAATATCTTTCTGCCACATTTTTGTAAGTGAAATTTAAATTATGTTGCACTGCAAATGGGCACCACCAGGTGTGATAAGTGGTTGCAAATTATTCAACAATTACATACAGATGTATACTACAGGTGTTTTTAGGCAACACGCAATTGTATTGAAGAGGCATGTGTATTAGCCAGGTGTCATTCACTAATTGAATTTGAAGAAATTATAGGGTCTGTGCCATGCATGGAAAAATATGTACAAGGCAGATCAATGCACTTTCCCACCATATAAATGCTCCCTAAAGCTGTTATTTTGTTTAACATTGTGTTAAAAAAGAACGTTTTGCATAATTTAAATGCATTAGAGCTGAGATAGAAATTTTAAAAGATGATCGTTTAATAATCAACAGTGGAGGTTAAAGTGTAATACTGTTAGATTGCCACATGGGTTATATAATGTTGTTAGGGTTTTCATGGCTAACTACAGATTACTTGCCCCTCAATGTTTAATGGTTTTATTTATTCCAAAAACTTCTCAAAATTTCCAAGTAGAAAGATACAAGTATTTAGCTAGCTTAAGGAAAGTGACTGGTTCTACTCCGTTGTCTGCTGGTGCCTGGAATGATTATATAAAGTGCTGTACACCTGAGCTATATCTTTTTAATTAATAAGTTATAATTGATGCATAATACTTCAAATACACATAGTTATCATATAAGTTTCCTAAGCAATACTGTGTTCTATAATGTAACTCCTATTACTTGTATAATTTTTGATTATCAGGGTTTTCTGATAAAAGATATTAAGTATTTATATGTAAAGAATGGGAAAAAAATGATAAGCTAAAATTACTGATGTTTGGTAAAATTTAAATTGCACACAAATGTTGAAGATAATAATGTAGGTATTGTGTCAAAAACAAAATAAGCTCTCAAAATTATATATATCAAAAATGAAACTCCAATGAATATGGTACAACTATCAACATTAACAATATATAATGATACATTTATGTAAGTCCTTAACTGCTTATACCCATGCGGCTAGTGCAGACCAGGATAAACAGCCATGTCAGTGCTATCTGGTCACGGTCTGCAGTGTTCGCATAATGTATTTCTAAATTGTCCCGAAAATGAGAGAAAGTTTTGTACAGATTGAAAGATGGAAAAGTTAATTTAAGGTATTAAGCTGCTGAAAGGTTTGATAGAAATGTAAGATTTCCACTGCATACACATGTCTGCACTGCTTTGCACTTTAGTTTGATTAGAAAGTAATTAAAGAAAGGAATGTTTCTGAGATTGAATTCTTTTACATTTTAAAGCTTTAATAATTGTAAATAGCTCTATGTTGCCAATTGAATTAGAAGGTAATGGGGCAATTTATCTCGAGCCTCGTGAATGAGTACTTAGTTTATATTCATTGTTGTTTATTGTCTAGATTTAGATCTAAGAATGACCTTCAAACATTTTTTTCCAGATATGCGGAAGGCACTATCAAGGGATGTAGAACAGAAGTCAATTATACACTAAAGTCACACCTGTTAGACCTGAAGATCTAGATTAACCAATGCCCTGTATTCTCATGAAACAATAATTAAATGAAGAGACACTGTACTTCTGGCTGTCTTACAGAACTTGTATAATAATGCTATCCTTAGAGAATCCTAGTAAAAAAGAGGTAGTATAAACATACTCATTTACATTTACACTTCATTCTGTGCTATTAGAAAATAATTTTATTATCAAAATCCTGAAAGAAGCTTAACATAAATCTTCACATTAAGTAAATGATGGTTTAGAATCTGGTTAGAAAGGTAAAGTTTGATCCCCACCAAAGTTTTTTGTTTTTTT